ACAATTATAACTGAGAATGGACTACGGATTGCGGGGTTTTTCGCGGATTCTTGACTACACTTTCGGAATCAGAGGCATGAAAAGTCCCAAAACGATCAGAACATGGTAGTCGAGAATTTGGGTGGACGGTGCCGTCAAAGATTTCTGGCAAAAAGTTGTGCTACAACGATGTAATGTCTGACTTTCTAATAAGTTTCCCTTATTACCATGGAAAAGAAGACACTTTTGAATAATCAACCCCTTCAATGGATTACTCTTGAATGATATAAAGTAGTTCTAGGCAGGTAGATAAGCCCCAACTATAAAAGAGCGCTATTTGACAGTACTCCTCATTTCAAATCTTCATCGAGATGGGTCTGTCTGAAAGCAAAGCTGATGAGGTTCGATTATAGTCCACTGGGCTGACGCAGAACAGTTTGAAACACTTCAGAAGGAAGTGCAAAAACAATCACCAGTGCCGGAACCGTCACCGGCGCCAGAGCCACCTCCAGCTCAGAAGCCACCGTCAGCGGAAGCAGAAGTCACAGCAAAAAAGGTAAATTATGTCCTTTGCTTGCGCAATAAGGAGAGTACTAATACCATTAGTATTTCCAGGATGCAGAGCAAGCTCTACAACAAGAGCCATCGCCAGTGCAGAAGCCACCTCCAGCAGAGCAAGAAGAAGCTGCATTAAAACAGGTAAGCGATAACTTCACAAAAAACAACTTTAAAAGGAATACTTGCAGCCTGAAGCTGCACCGCAAGTACCGCCCCCGGCTCAGAAGCCACCTTCGGCAGAGCAAGAAGAAGTAGCCGCAAAAAAGGTAATCGTCTTTCATTCATGACTGTAATTCTACGAGTTATTTTGTAGGCCCTAGAGCAAGCCCCTCCTCAAGAAGTGTTGCCGGCGCAGAAACCATCAACGGAGCAGGAAGAAGCTGCTGCTAAAATGGTGATGTTGTCAGTTACCTAGTAATCTGTAAAAATTCATAGTTATTCGATGCAGATAGCAAAGCGGGGTCCACCTCTGGAAATACCTCGTATAACACCACCTCTCGAAGTTCAAAAGCCTCCATCAGCTCCACTGGAATTGGGCGAAGGAAAGAAGGAAATCACTGCAAAAACTGTTCTGCCAACACAGGAAAAGAAGGAGATCGAAAAGACTCCGCACAAAGACGAGATGATAAAGAAGGAATCAGAGCCTGTGAAAGAAATGGCTACAGCGATTCAAACAAAAGTGCCAGAGCCTCCAGTAACAATGGTTCCTGTAAAGTTACCGGTAGTTCCACCGTCTGAATTGAAAAAAGGTGAGTTGGCAGTAGCAGAGAAACCTTTTAAAGGAAAGGAGGAAGTGGAAAAGCCAGCTGAACAAGGCTTTCCTTCGAAGGAGGAAAAAAAGCCTTCTATGCATGAAAAGGAAGAAGGGAAGGCAACTCTTGATAAGGAAAGGAAATTAGCTGAGAAGGAAAAAGTGAAAGAACCTTTGAAGAAGTCGGCTGAGAAGGTTGCTCCAAGGAAAAAAGCGACACCAACCGTAGTCCCAAAAGCACCAGAAAAGCAAATTGATAAGAAGCAAGCTGATAACAAAGGAAAAGAAAAGAATGGAAAAACAAAAAAGGTCTCTGCAGAAAAGTTTACGCTTCCCAAGGAAAAGGAGACTCCTGAGAAAACAGCAGTACCTTCTAAGAAGGAGGAGAAAAAAGATGCAGATAAGAAGACAGCTGATAAAGAAAAAACGAAGGGCAAGGGGAAATCTTCCGACAAAAAGACGGAAGAGAAAAAGACAATCTCAAAAGAAACTGCTTCTAAAGGATCTAAGAGTTCAGGAACTGCGAAAACAAGTAGTACAAGCGATTTTCCGCAGAAAGTAGGTTGGACAACAAGGCATAGAATATTTGCATTAGACATGACATTTAGGGTAAGAAGAACGACACGAAGAAGAGAAAGAAGAAGAAGTGAAATAAGCTTAAAGAGGTAAACAACCTAGAGCTTTGAAAAGTCTACATAATCTACACAAAAATCTTCAGGCTTTCTACCACGTTGAAATAATGTCACCAAACGAGCTGTACACTGCCGATTTTACCAAATAAATAGTTTTTTTGTGACCGAGTCTCAGTACACTCGCTGTCTAATCTGTTTGCTTGCACGAGCAAACTGACTTTTTGAAGTAAATATTATCTGTGACCTTTATTCTTTCATCGATGTTCAACTGGTTCTGCACTGATACTTTTTGCAGCACTGATGATGCGGCATCCTCGATTGCCTGCACACATGTGATTTGA